GAAATTTTTATTTATGACGGCTTATGAACACACAATTATTTTCCTATTTTTACCAAATAGTTGGAGCGAAACTATATTTCAAAGTTGAAAATTAAAATTCAATCTAGTTATCTAGTCGATCTTAACCTGGTGGGTGTTTTTTCCTGAATAAGTTTGTAGTTTTTCAAAGTTAAATATTGATTATTTTATGCTTTCTATTGAATTTTTTACATTTTAATCTAAATTGCTGGATCGGGGTTGAAAATCTAGTTACATCATTTTCTCTTTCTCACTCACCTCGTATTATTTTAGAGAAAATTTTTTAGTACGAGACCATAAATTATAATCAACAAACCTTCTCTAGGCAAAGTGATAACATGATGCGGGATAAGATGATATCTTTTCGAGTGTGATTGAGCATTTGTATTGTGAAACTGATGAGAGAGATGATAAAATAAAGGCAATTTTGTTGATTAGCTTGATGGAAAAAAAATTATTAAAGAGAGATAGGGTATTTTAGTAAGTTAACTAAAAAAAAGTAGTGTCTTAGCCAACATGGGGATGGAAATAGCGTTGTCCTATAAAGAGGAAATTTTTAGACAATCGCATAAATATGATGGAAAAATACACAAAAAGAATTGAAATATTGTCATATTGTGGTAAAATCAGTCAAAGTAGAAAAATTCACAAACGGCCTCTCTATAGATTCCCCCATATAGTCGGGAAAATTACCAAAACAATCATAAACCTATTGCAATTTTGTCAATTCGGTCCTAAACCTTCTTTTTTTTTGCCAATTCAGTCCTAAATATTTTACATTTGTGCAAATTCAGTCCATCTAGTCAACGTTAGCCGGCCGGCACTGACGTGGATGCCAACCGACGCTGACGTGGAAAATTTTTTTGTATTTTTTTCGAATTGTTTTGTTTCCTTTCTCTTTTATTTTTTGTTCTTTCTTACCTTGGCCAGTCGCCAGATCGGCTAGGGGCTAGGGCCGACGAGGACACCTTGTCGATCACTGGCGAGGGCGAGGCCGTCGCGGGGGAGCTCGAGCCTCGCTCAACCATGGCTAGGCTCGACCTCGCATCGTTGGGTAAGGTTGAGGTCACCTTGCCAGCACCTCGCCAACCCTAGCCTATGGTTGGTCCGGTGACTGGCCAGGGGAAGAAGGAAATTAATAATAAAAAAAAAGGGAAAGAGAAAGGGAAAAAAATTGAAAAATTACATGTCAGCGTCGGCCGGACGTTTGACGCCGGTCGGCGTCCACGTTAGCGCTGGTTAGCCAAAATTGGTCGGATTAACTAAATTGGCACAAATGCAAAAGGTTTAGGACTGAATTGACAAAAATAAAAGGTTTAGAACTGAATTTGCACAATTGCAATAGGTTTATGGCTATTTTAGTAATTTTTCCCTCTTTAGTCAGTTGACTCTTAGTGGCTCCACCCACATGGCCCACTATAGTTTTGGGCTGGGTCAAGGCCTAGAGAAACAGATTATTAGGGCCTATACATTAATATATCAATGCTTATTGTTGGGAAAATTGTCAAAAAAGTCCAAAATTTATTATACTTTTGCCAATTCCCTTTGGGAGATGTTCACTAAAAGTCCTAAAATTTGTCGCAAAAATGCAATTGAGTCCTAAAACTTGTCAAATTTGTTCAATCAAGTCCTAAAGTTAACACCGTTAATTTGTCTAATAGGAAAATGTTGACGTGGAATTTTAAAATGAATTTCTCTCTCCTACATGGCATATATATATTTTTTATTCAAATCTTATTTAAATTAGATTAAAAGGCTAAAAATTAAAAAACAAAACAAAACAAAACTGGAAAAAAGAAGAAGAGAGAAGCAGCTTCACCGGAGGGGGGCCAACAGAGGTCACCGAAGGGGCCGGCTGAGGTCACCGACCCTGGTCGAGGGTGGCTAGCCCTCGCCAGCCCCCGCCAGCCCCGGGCGAGGGCCCCTAGATTTGGGTAACGCCAGCCCTCACTTGGGGCCGGCAACCATTGCCCGCCTAGATCTGGGTTGAGGGCACCCAGACCTGGGCAACACCTGGCCTTTGCCTAAGGCCGGCGTCGCCCAGATCTAGGCGCCCGAGGCCGGCAAGGCCTCACCTGGGGCTGGTGAGGGCCGGCCACCCTCTCCCGGGGCTAGCGACCTCAGCTGGCCCCTCTGGTGATCTCTGTCGGCCCCCCTCTGGCGATGGGCGGCGAATGCAACTCCCAACTTAGCCCTAGTTTTTTTTTTTTCCAATTTTGTTATTTTAAGTGATATTTAGATTTTTTTAGTTTTTAATTCAATTTATATAAGATTTGAATAAAATAATAATAATAATAATAAATGCCACATAAGAGAGAGAAATTAATTTTAAAATGCCACGTCAGCATTTTCCATTAGATAAATTGACAGTATTAACTTTAGGACTTGATTGAACCAATTTAATAAGTTTTAGGACTCGGTTGCACTTTTTGTAAGTTTTAGGACTCAATTGTACTTTCCTGATAAGTTTTTAGGACTTCTAGTGAACATATCTCATTCCCTTTTGACAATTTATCAATTGAGTCCATTGGGCCAATTTGGCACGAAAGTGATGACTTGAGTGTTGGCCGTCTTATGTGGCGCGGCCGGGATTATCGTTGACATTTTGTAATTATATTTTGAATTTTTATGGTTTTTTCCTTTTCTTTACTATTTTTTTGGGCTTTTGGAGTGATGACCGGCAAGGGTCGCCGACCGACCCTCACCGGCTCTAGGCACACCCTCATCGGCCAAAGCGAGGGCGTGCAAACCCTCATCCAGATCTACAACGCCCTCGCCCGATGCCCTCGCTGGCCACAGCGAGGGAGTCGCAACCCTCATTAGTCAATGTTATTACTATTGGCCCCAAAACAAATAGCCATCACGTTAACAAATTAAATCACGAAATCATAGCATGATGCATGACCATGAATGACAAGGTAGTCCCGCATTGGTGTATCTCATGTTTGTTCGTGATATATAAATATTTTTATCTAACGGCTTAAACTTTTGAATTAATTGGCCGGATACTTGACTTCAACATGGTACTGGTGATTATTTAGATGCCCATTATAACACTACGCCGATCTATAGCTAGATAGCCAAACTATGGATCTAGCACGGTGAAATTAAGCTCAAGCCCAGTATGCTTAACCATGCTCGCTTTCGGATTAAAAGCGTATGATAATCGAAGTGTATATTTCAAGATTAGATCAAACAGTTAAAACAAGTGATCCATAAGTCCCACCAATGCTTGTGTACCGAAAAGGTTGTATCAACCAAAAATGGTTTTAATACTTGATTAGGTTTATCCAGTTCTCGAGAAAAAAAATGGGAAATTTGGGGTCTAAACTATGGGACCCGTGGCGCTAACCCATGTAGTGGGACACGACCCACAATTGCTAGTCCATGAAATTTCAGTGAATTAATGAAGTAAGAAACAAACTTGGAATGTGATTGCCCATACCTATCCTATCTCTAAATAAAAAGAATCTAGATAGTGGTCTGGAACTGCATGCAATGTAACCTAACTCCATCCACTTATTGTCAGACATTGGAGGTGAGTTCATTGCGCTGTTTGGACCAAAATTAAAAAACAACAAAACAATTGAAGCCGACTTCTTTCATTTACATAAACATGTGTGTGCGCAAGAAGTCGAGAGCTTTTATCTGTCCGACCGTAAAAATTCTCACAGAATTATTGCCGACCGTTCTAAAAATTTAAGCTATCAAACGAAGATTGAACTCGGGGTCTCCCGCTCAAATACTATGTAAGCTTTTTGCGAGAGCTCTATAAGCAAAAGATTTTATTATGTCTAACAGCATGAAACAACTATAGTCCCATATATTGCACTTATTAATGGTCAACTGTTCGAGCATGGGTCGTGGCCTGGTTGGGTAGTGGAATTGGAATGAACATTAACAACCCAAAATAAATAAATAAATAAAACACATTACTTACCTTAGTGTTCACACGTGGCATATGGTACCCTGAGTCTTCTCTCATTTACTTCTGATTTACAAATGAATAGATCAATATTATTAAATACCGAAAGAGATAAGCAAGTGTGGCACTTTACGTTTTTTAGGCGACTCGTACCAGGATAATATCTTGGCACGGAAGCTTTTACTTACTTTTTAGTTCTAAAGATTGTAGGTACAGAGCAGGACCTTAAAACACTCAAAAAAAATATGGGGAAGAAATTCTTCGATACGATGGAGGCTCATCTTTATGTTCTCTCCGTATTCTTTCTCTCCGGAGAAGAAAAAGATTTGAAGAGAACATGAAGCCTACTGGGTGGTGAAAGTAGACACCAATTTTGATTGGCTATCTCCGGATAGACATGTATAGTAGCCTCCCGCGTCTAAGATGACAAGAGGGAAAGTCTCGTTTTTCAATAGGTCTATTCGTATTTCGTACAAGTCTATCAACCGATTGGCAGACCTGTACCAGGATAATATCTTGCCACGGAAGCTTTCACTTACTTTTTAGTTCTAAAGATTGTAGATCAAGCTTTGCTCCTATGAACACAGGAAAACACACCATCACTTCAACATAAATTAATGTCCTGATCAGTTTATGATCTTATGGCCACTGTCTAAGTTCCCTCGTGCACTTTAGTTTAGTCCCACGGCGCAAGCAACTCCAACTATTATTATAGGAGGAGGGCATATGATAGTCATATTATAATGTGTAAATTAGTACGGATATCGCGTGACATGCGGCATACTTTATAGCATTATTGTCATCAACAATTCAAGATTGCATTTGCAGCTTTTTTTTAAAAAAAATATATTCCCTGACGATTAGACTCGACTAGTCTCAGCACACACGGCACGCAAAATTGCATCAGGTTCATTTGAGGCCTCGAGTCCAGGTGAAATCGATCGGGCGAGACTCGATAAATTCAAGAGTCCAGATGGGTCGGACCCATGATATTAGATATCTTATTTTTGGATTGCATGCTAACTTGTGGTCTTAGGAGTGGCCCTCCAAAAATATCGGCAAACCCTTGAAAGCTCGTCCAACTATCAGGACTCGTGCAACTATAACTACTCGTACTAGTTTCCTGCCGCCACTCTTCTATTGTCTTCGTTCACTCCCACCACCCTCCGGCATGTCGCAGCCGCTGCCGCCACCTCCGTTGCGCCCCTCGTGCTAGCGCCCGTCTCTGCTGCCGCCATGACGTCTCAAAACTTGCAGCCGTCCCACTGGCGGTACACGGAGCTGGACGACCGCAACTTCCAAGTCCAAGGCCAGACCCTCTTCTACGTCGTCGTGCTGTTTGCCACGGTCCTCCTCGTCACCCTCCTCTTCCACTACGCCCGCTGGGTCTGCCGCCACCACAGCCCGCCCCCCGAGACTTCCCACGGCGCGGCGAACGCGCCCCTGCCTCGGCCCTCGCTGGGCCTCGACGCTGCTGCCATCGACAGGCTGCCCATCGTGCTGCACGGTGGCGCGCCGTCGGAGGTGGAGGAAGCCGGCGAATGCAGCATATGCCTCGGGGAGTTCGAGGACGGCGAGAAGGTGAAGGTGTTGCCGCAGTGTGGACACCGTTACCACTGCGGGTGCGTGGACCAGTGGCTCGCGACGCGGTCGGTTTGCCCGCTGTGCCGGGCGCCTCTCCCTGTCGACTCGGCCGGTCCGTGAGCCTGAGTGAGCGGAACGAGTTGGAAAGCGTAGAAATATCTTGCATCTCCACCTCCCTCCACTAGCGTCTCTTTCATCGTGTAGTATTCCTTTTCTTTTGTTTGTAGGTGGCTTTTTCTTTGGGCGGATGTTGTTTTGTGTAGAGAATTAGGAGTTTTGTACCCTTAAGTTTCTACTTTTCATCACTTGCCAAATTATTTATCTTTGTGTCGATTTCTTTCTCTTGGAAAAATACTTGTGGGTTGGAAAACAAAAAATAAAAAAAAAAGTGGTATTTACGCACACTAGCTTATATGAGAAGAATTGAGCTCCTCTATAGATAATTAGAGATATCATATATTAATATGTATGTATAATTTTATTGAAAGTAAAAAAGCCATTAAAAATCTCAAACTATACCAACTGTAACACATTTTCCTAGAATCTTTTTTGATGACATCAATAATCTCAAAATATGTCAACCGTGATACATTTACCAAAAACTTTTTTTATAACATAAAAGCCCCAAACTTGTAACTATGTGAACCATTTATCTCCCGTCAATATTCCATTAGATGATTTTTCGGCTAAAATAATATTATTTTTATTTCACTTAAGTCACGTGCGCGTCATGTCCATACCGTTTGCTTTCTTGCGTTCGTATAGATAGATTTTTAACGATGCTCAATGGCGGAATCTTGACGGAGGGTAAATATATTATACAGGTATAAATCTGAAATTTTTTATGTTATGCAAAAAAGTTGAGAGCAAATGTGTTAAGGGGGTATAATTTGAGGCTTTCGACGGCTGTTTTTCCTTACAAAAATGTTTGCCTATCTCTCTTCCTCTCCTCATCTTCTTTTGCCGTCTCGCAGTGAATCGTTGCTGTCCTCATGTGACTTGAGATGGCGACAGGCGTGTGAAAGGCAAATGAATTGGTCAATTATGCTGTCCCCATGTGAATTGAAATGGCCAAACACGCGTGATTTTGACGACTCATCGGCTAATTTCCTTTTTGGGACTCTCAATTGCTTCGGCCATGGGAGCGTCTCGGTCATCATTGAAAAGTGAAGAGGTTTACGGTCAAGAGTTCACATATCGAGAGCGTCGAAAGTAAAAAGATTGACCCCAATTCAATTGTGTCGATTGCAAAACTCGCTCAAATATGTTATTAATTACATAGAATTATACTTGTTGTACTTAAATAGCAAACTTCTTGCTGTTTAAATTTGGCCGAAGACCGGAAGACTCAACGGTCATATTTCTAGCCGTTTGAAATGTGTCTAATGGCTAGTCGAGATTTTTTTTTTCTGTAAATTGGGTTGCTCATTTTCCTATAGAGGTAGAGAGCACCGCATGCAATTGCTAAAAACTCTTGAATACACTTTGCAATCGAATCTCTTGAAAGATTAAAATCGTGTGAGAAACATTATGTAAAAAAGTGCACCCTATTTATAAAGGAGACTTTGCTCCATTATAAACCAATCTTTGTACAAGGTTCAAGTTTAGTCATTTGGGTACTACTCCCAAATCATCTACGGGAGTAGATTGAGCACGGTTTTGGAGAAGAACCACTATAAATTGGCTAAGCATTTCTCTATTCCTACTCTTTTATTCATATGCTTATCATGCGTTTGATAATTCGCCCAACACATATTTGCGCAAAAATATTTGATATAGTGATGCATATTCCATATACTTGTGCATAAATTTGAATTAATGGAATGACAACATTGAACATTTTCATACGGTCCAAAGACTAAATTGAACATGTACCAAAAGTCTAAGGATCATATTGAACAAACTAAAAGTTCATGGACGACATTTCACATTGGATTAAAGTTCAATGACCATATTGAACAAATATAAAGTTTATGAACCAAATTACACATTAGGCCAAAATTCGTGAACCATTTGTGCTGTTATCCCTTTATAATACGTGGAAAGTCAGGTATCACTTTGTTGGGCCAGGCCCAAAGGAGCTTTGGATCACACCTAGAAGCCCATTAATTTCCAAGATATTAGTCACACATTACATGTTGGGCCCAGGCCCAAATTGAGACCAAGAATTAGGGTTTCTCCCACCTATATATAAACGCGAGTTCACCCCATTCTCCTTCTCGGTGCCTGAAAACCCCCAGAGTTCGCACCTGCCGTCAGATCGAAGCTAGGGTTCCGAGGGCGAAGCAACCGGAGCGATCGTTACCTCGTCGCCATGAGAGCTAAGGTAAGCTCAAATTTCGGAAATTGGCATGGCAATGGTTACTGGGTCGATGCCAATCGCATCGTTTGTTGATGTTTTTGGTTTCCCATTTGTTTTGTGGGTTTGATGGTGGGTGGCAGTGGAAGAAGAAGCGCATGAGGAGGTTGAAGAGGAAGCGCAGAAAGATGAGGCAGAGATCGAAGTAGGGACAGTCTTCATCATCATCAAAAGCGGGTCTCATCTCTAGTCGTTCTTTCTCTTTAAAGCTATGTTCTTTTCTTTTTGGGGAACCAGTACTTGTAGAAGATTAGGCTTCTCGTTTTTGTACCGTTCCGTGTCTTGTTCTTTGTTGGATTGGAACATCTTGATGAATCTAGTTCGTTACCTTTGGCACTTCGAATCGGCGCAGTAGTTGAATCTTGATATGCTTTAAGTTTATTATATTTGCCGACGGAGACCAACGGTGACTAATAGTCTCTGTTTCCCTTTCTTCTTCGACAAAGCCGAGGCCTTTGTCCTGCAATTTACTGGGTGATGTCTGAAAGTGAGGTCTTTCTGGTGATGTTGGTATAAAGCTTGAGATCCTATTTATCTCATCGGGGCACAGAGTTCAGATTTTGTGGGCAATGACATAGGTTTCTGCGTCGGTTTTTCTGGGTTTGATATGGTTCATTTATCACGCGACCAAGAGGATTTATAATTTGGAATCGATCTCAAATTGGTTTTGATTTGTCGAAACTTTTCTTTTAGCACTACTGGGAGCTGGTAAAGTTTGGGTCGTAAGTTGAATTGAGTTCCGAAATTTTGGTCATCACTTGGGTTTCATCGAAGTTTGTGTTGAAATATTGTTCTTTGTCCATCAAAAGCAACATCCATGACTTCTTATTGGTTTGTTTCCGTGAAAGAGCTGTATAAAAGGCAGTCCTTCAAACCTCATATCTTTTAGTCCTCAGTTATTGATGAAAATAAGACTCAATTGTGTAGCCTTGTGATTGTAGTTTAAGCGTGGCAAGCCATTGTAGTTATTTTCCCCTGAAATAAGTTTTGCTGATCAAATTTAAGCACGCAACCGGCTAGTTTGATCCAAGGACCAGTTGGAATCAGCCTCTTCGGTCTGGTCACAAGCCAGTTTCAGGTGAACTGGTCTGGTTCTCATTTCTAACATTACCGGCCTAAAACCAGGCAGATTTCTAGTATTATTGAGCTTCAACATATGAATTATTACTTGTTGAAGTAACTTTCAAAATCCTACCGTAATCCCGTTATCTTCATCAGATGAGGACTTGCCGACTCATTCTCTTTGATGGCTATTATTGTATCGTCATTAGCAGTCATCACGGTGCAGAAGATTCTTACTTTCTTCCTTTGGTTTTTCTACAGAATTGTCTTAGGTTTTGATTTTGCTCTTACGGGATGATTTGTTATTTTAGAATTTTCTCTTAGAGCAGAACAGAGATTGGCCTTGAACCTGTCGGTTCTGGGACTAGCTTGTTCCAGTATAAGCTGTTTCTGCTCTCGGTTTCCTTTTTGTGGATGGTTTTACACAGTTCCAGCCTTCCATGTTTTAGTCTCGGAACTGGTCCGACCGACCCATGTTCATCCATTTTAAAACATCATTATAAGAGGAAGTGCCGACCGGCTTCGTCCGGCATGAAAATTCAGAGTTCGGCAGGTTCAAGATGGTTAATCACCTTCTCGCTATCTAAATTATACTAACCTGAGTCCATTTGTTCGTTTTCCCATCATACCTCACATCTTGTGCAAAACCTATTCAGACATCACAGGCTATGCACTCGCGGTTGCGGTGTCCGTTTCTCTAGAATCATGAAATACTATTTCCGTCACAAATCCACCAGTTTTGTGGACACTTCCCGATGCTTGTACACCGTAGCTCAGTTCCTCAGGATCACTACTCACATTGAAGAAGATCGGTGTGGGAAATGTTAGCATATGTACATAGAATTATTGCCTTCAACCTTAACTTGATGAAGATAACTACGGGCCTGCACTGGTGAACTCTCAAAATGTATAATTATGTCCATGTTATTCCTCTGATTAACCAAAGCAAAACCTAAAGGAAATGACCCAAAACACTAGAGCCGACGGCTAAGAAGAATCAAAATGATGCCTTCACGGGTCTTTAACGGTTGATGAAGATTCCGGCTTCTGGACTCCTGATGAAACTCCTTGTTGCGTGCACATTGTATCAATGTACTTCCTAACCTCCTCCGCGATCATGCGCTTCATGATCATCACCAAGCAACTATCGTCCATCGCTGCTGCTGCACCCTTCACGTCCCCATTTCGCTTCAGCGCTGGTTCTTGATCTCCGTCGTCGTGATTCGGTCCTGCCTTCTCGCCTTCCAGTGCAGCTATGAGGCTCTCTCCTGGCGGAGAGAGTGTGAGTGAAGTCCTCGGCCCCTTTGGCGGCCTCACATCTCCGTCACGACTATTCTCATCGGGCAGAACCCACAGGCATTGCCTCTTGATCTCGAAGTCGGTCTCGGACTCGGCCGCGGTGTCGTGGCTTGGGTTCTGCTTCCCGGAATTGGACTCGGACGACGTGGACGACCGCTCACCTGAGCGTTTCCTGCGCAGGGTCGAATTCCAGTGGTTCTTGATGGCGTTGTCGGTCCGGCCGGGCAGGAGGCGGGCGATGGTGGCCCACTTGTTGCCGTGGACCTTGTGGGCCTCGACGATGGTGGCGTCCTCCAGCGGGGTGAAGGGCCGGTGCTGCACCGCGGGGCTGAGCTGGTTGCACCAGCGCAGGCGGCAGGACTTCCCCGACCGGCCGGGGATGCCGGTGCTGATGAGGGACCAGTTGCGGGGGCCGTGCTGCTCAACGAGCTTGATCAGGGTGGCGTCCTCCTGCGGGCTCCACGAGCCCTTCACTCGGTCGACGCCGTCGACGCTGGTGACTTTCATGTTTTGCCCGAAACACACAAGGATGATGGAGTGTTGGGGGAGAGTGGCGGATCTGTAAGGGATTGCTGTTGGGTTTGGGTGGCGAGGATGGAGATGGATGGATGCGGTGGGAGGATTTAAGGAAAGGGTTGTTAACCGTCGAGGGAAAGGAGGGGTTGTTGGGGGCAAAGAGAACCGTGAAACCGCCCAAACCTTTGACATAACCACTTCATGAGTCGCAACAAGAAAAGCGTTTGTTTCTGTTTCTGTTTCTGTTTCTGCTGCCTATTGATTGCAACATCATCGTCGTCTTCTTCCCCTGTTCTTTGCATGAATGAGAGAGAGAGAGAGAGAGAGTTGGAAGTTGGGATTTGGTGAGAGATTATGGGGGGGAGGAGTTATTAAACTTCCTCCAAATTTTCAACTGATTCCATCTAGTAACGGCTTTTCCTAGGATTGCTTAATGCTAATGCTAATGCTAATGGAGGCAATTACACATCGCACGTTCCATGTCTCTTAAGTTGGGTTCCGGCCCATCATTATCATCCTAACCTTCGTTTGTCTTGTTACCCTATATTCATTGGATGTGCACCACGTGCCTTCTTTTAAATGAATGTTTGTTACGTTGGTCCGTAATATGTGCTCGTGTCGTGTGCCCGAAGCAATAGTAAATAAGTTGATGAAATGTATTGATTTAGTTCGGAAACCAAGTTTCAACAAATTAATCCAGCATCCCATCAAATTTAGTTCATTGAGTTAAGTGCTCATAGCATTGGCCCTAGATTTATATAGCATCATTGCTAGGAGAACATGCCCTGTATCCATTTTCGGGCCAGAGCGGGGCTTTTGTATTTTAAGGCTTAGACCCAACTTTTACTGTTCTAAAGCGCTACATTTTTTCTTATTCATATCAATAGAGTGTCAAGAACTCGGACATATCGACCAATAAAAAAACGAATCATCGTCGGGTACGTACATAGCAAAGATATGCCGCAATCTACACTACACGGGGAACTTCTTCTGTCAATCTCAGAACAGTACCAAGGCAGAGACAGAAAAAAGAGCATGTCCAAATTAATTCCTTGATATTAGCTAAAAGGATGACGAAGAAGTTACGATTTGAAAACTTTTCTTGATTGATGGGATGTTGAATATATACCAATGCGGCCGATCTTATCTTTACTTTACCTTTACTTGCATTTCGGCCACACATGTCACAGTAAAATAGATATGTTGAAGATCTTTCTTTTCTCTTTCTTTTGAAGAAAGAAAAGTTCTCTTCCTACAAATGATTAATTAGATGACATCCCCAATTCATATGCAAATATATATATATATATATATACACAACAGAACATATCAATATTATCAAAGTCTGTCATAGATTTTATTACCGTAGCATGTTAATCATGGCAATGGACTCTGACAAGGCAAGAAAAATCTCTGCCTCTTGCTTCTGATGCGACAGTTTGAGGCCATAGAAGAGCAGGCAATCCTGCTGACCACCACTTTCAGCGACTGTTTGAGCGAGCTCAAGCACGCCCCTTGATCCCCGCCGCCCCCGTTGCCGCTGTCGCCGCACAGAACGAGGACGCTCTTGATTCGGCCGCCCACGGAGGCCACGTCGGCCTTCACCGTGGTCAGCTTCAGGCCCTTGATGACCCGGGTGAGCTCCGACAGCAGCTCGGGCCGGTCGTCGCAGCAGATAGAGACCCGGATGAGGAGGACGCCGCCGTCGCCCTTATCGGGTTTGGGGTCGTCGCAGTCGATGATCACTTCGTCGACCTCGGACGGGAGGATGGTGAGGGACTTGCTGATCTCGGTGGCCTTTCGCTTCAGGTCCTTGACGCGGTCGATCACACTTGCTAGAAGAGCTGCTTTGTCCATCTGCACACATGATCAAACAATGTAATGCAAATAAATGATTGGAACATAGCCCCTTTCGAAGATGGGGGTCTTGGGTTTAGCTTATATTTAGCACCAACTTAGGAGAAAGTCCACGAGAAAGTGATTCCTTGCAAAGTTCCCTGCTTTGATAACCAGTCGATCTGCCATGGATCTAACCAGCAAAACGGCCCTAAATCAAGGACAGAAACTTGATTTGGTTGTAATAAAGTTGGGTCTAAATAAGCTCGAGTTAGGCTCACGAAAGTTCTTGACCTGAGCTAGCCTTAGCGAGCTCATTTCGTAAGTTCAGCGACAATCAGCAGAGACAAAAATGGTAAGAATAGAAGTTCGACTTCAGAATGTTAGTGCGAATTCAACAGAGTCATGTGTACAAAGCCTGCTTTATGTTGTCTTTCTTCATATCGTTGGAATACTAACACGACTACAATAAATGGTGATTAAACGACATCGATGAACCAGACAAAAATCACGCAGACAATGCGTCTTGCTTTCTGATCTCTTGCATCAGTTCAGTCGGTGCGTGCGTGTGTGGGAGAGAGAGAGAGAGAGAGAGAGGAAGGGAGAGCGGTAGAGCGTAAACCTTCTCGGATTTGGGAATGAGCTTCCTCAAAGTGGCAAGCTGTGCATTGATTCTGTCTCTGCGCCTTTTCTCGGCTTGGCTGTGACTCTTGGAAACACTCGCGCTCGCGCTCGCACTCGCGCTCGTCCCTCTGTCATCTACTACTCCTCCATCGATGGGGATGTACCACGGAAAATTTTCATTGCATGTTTGAATCGGATTAAACACAGCCGCTTGAGATGGCATCGGATATGAACCCCTGTTCATTTGTTCAACCCAATCTGCTTCTCCTGACCAATCAGAGAACCAATTCAAGTTCTCCATAACAAAGCCACAATCTTTCCCTGACAATTATCCCAAAATTCCTAGCTTTATATCTACTTCATCCATATGAAGAACCACTCTTCTTGCACTAATAATGCTGTGCCACAGGAACATGTACTAGACTGTGATTGGTGTGATGTGTTGGTGAAGAGAAACTTTATAATATGGTCAAGAAGATGGCGAATCAACCATATCTGCCTGTCACTTCAGCATGAATTTTCTGGTAGACTTTGGCAAACAACAACGAGGGCTCTCAGGAAATCTTGAAGAGTAAGAGAAGATATTGTCCGGGAAGAGTATCATAAATGGCCATGTCCACACTCGAGAATGGACAAAAGCAAGAAACAGTAGAAGAGATATCGATATGGCCCATTTGGGAAAAGCACATGTAACTTGATGCATCTGGGAATCATAGGTCTACCTAAACCAAACCCCCAAAAAGAGAGAATCAAATAGATTTCCCCAACAGCAATGGACCTTCAAACATTAATAAACAATTGAAGGACCAATCATAACCCTTTTTGCTGAATCATATCAATTTACGACAGCTTCTTGCAACCGTTACGATGAAGAAGATTGAACTTATGCGCTTTAGCTCGTTTTTGGTAATTATTTACAGGTCAACTGTGCAAATTAATGGGCTTCGAGAGGGGAAAACAGAAAAATAAAACTCGATTCCCTTTGTTTCATTCTTGTTCTGCAGTGCTATCTAATGCTGCTTGTAATCTTATTCATTTTCATTTTGGTTCTTTTGCGGTCTCTACAACTCATAACCATCTACATATGTTTTTTCGGGGGGCTATTACATCTTGCTGTCATAGCCAAAACAGAATGAGTTTCCAAATTACCTCAAAATGACATCTTTTTTCTTTACCTTCTCGTTTTATTGTTGACCAGTACTAGTGGTCGGCCTGGTGGACCCTGCAGCTTTTGCCGCAATTCTTTTTCAGTCTAAATTATACAACTTCAAGCACTTGTGGAGAGTAGTTCGGCCACAACGATATGCAAAGCGCATCAATCAAAGAGAGCTCATTTTACATGTGCCTCATTCCTTTCTCTCTTAATAATTGTGAAGCTTCGGGTGGGATTGTCTCAGTATGTTCAGCAACACACCCTTCTTTCTTTTTCTTGTGAAGACATCTTCACCTCGGACTTCATATTGCTCTTCATGAGTCACGAGGATATATACTGATTGAGAATCATTGGATCATGTTGATCTTACTTGATTCGTCGGTTGCGTGAGAAAAGGTTTGCCCCTTCGTGACCCACCCAATGCTATCTTTTAGTTCCTGTTTTTTAACTCATCGTCCACTATCATGTAAATGCAGGGGTCAAGAGAGTCCTTCGCAACAAAACAAACAGAGCCTCAATGATAACAACAGGTCAGTCACTGGGTAGGGTCATGACGGTACACGCAAATACATTGTAGATCACCATAAAGAGTGACTTTTAACGATTGATATGACCTCAAATCAAAACCCCACTCAACTCTGAAGTTTTCCCGATCTCTTTCATGATTTGTGGTGACCATATTTTCTCTCTTTTCTTGCCTTTTTCTTATTCTTGTGAATCCCACTTGTCTGGGAGTCCCGCGGTGCAGCTTCCCTTTGGGTCCCAAATTGATTAAAGAGATGATTGGCTCTGGCTCATCCATCGTAACATTGGAAAATGACACAAATAGTCCCTGAACTTTGACCCAATGTGCAATTTGATCCCTGAATTTTTAATTTGTTCAATGTAGTCCCTGAACTTTAACCTAATGTTCAATTTGGTCCTTGAACTTTTGATTTGCTCAATGTGGTCCCTGAACTTTTAATATGTGTTCAATTTAGTCCTTGAACTATTTGAAAATGTTCAATATAGTCATTCCATTAATTCAAGTGCAGGGACTATATTGAACATTTTCATATAGTTCAGGAACTAAATTGAACACATATTAAAAGTTCAGGGACCACATTGAACAAATTAAAAGTTCATTGACCAAATTGAACATTATGTTAAAGTTCAGAGATTACATTGAATAAATTAAAAGTTCAGGGATCAAATTGCACATTAGGTCAAAATTCAAGGACTATTTGTGTCATTATCCCTCATAACATAGACTGGGTTTACGAAGGAACCATTTGCTGGGTCTCCTTGATACAATCTCATGAATCAGGATTTGTTCAAGAATCATTTCTTTCTTGATGATTTCAACAGGAACATATTCTTGATGAGCATTTAAATGGTTCATGGTACATTACAGATGGGCAAGATTGGTTTTGTGGCCAGAAATTTGTACGAGAACAAGTGAGATGTCAATGCCCGGAAATGTTGCAAACCCCACATAAACAAACAGCAAGAAAAACAAGTTGCACCATGCAAGAGGAACCTTTTGAGGGGTAAACAATTGTTTATTCGTTAATGTGAAATGTCAGTGGGGTAGCTACACGGGAAATAAGCTAAAGGCAGAGATCAAGACAGTCGATTAATCAATCAAACTTGATCCCCCAAATCTTCCAAATTAGTTTTCGCTTAAATGTAACATACCTAAACTCTTCAATCTCGTATCGGCAGACAATCTACTCTTCACAACCAGAGCAACAGCTCAAAGACTGGAAGAGAGCATCCAATTTATTCGAGTGTATTATAAGCATCCAAGTATTCATAGAAAAGCAACTACATTTAGTGTTCTTCCAAAGACCCAAGTGGCATTGTTATTCATGTTATCTGATTCCACTAGGGCAAAAATTTGAATCAAACCAGATCAGGAGGGGCTTCATCATCATCTTATCTGAGCCTCTCTAGCACATGCGCCACTGTCTACTTGAGCTACTTCAGATTGTAATGCCTGCTCTAATTCAAATATATACGTACAAAAACCCACTTCGATTCAGCATCCATAAGCACCTACCTAACTTATTACGACTAAGAAGGACAACATAGCCTGTCATACCTCGAGTTCCACAAAGAAAGAGCAGCTAAAGGCATTGTCAATACAACACTTGCTGACCTCATTCCAGAAGAGATCATCATTGATACATCACAACACAGAACCAGAAAAAGAATAGACTAGGAGCACATTCAAACTTTTTGAAAGATACAGCTAAGTTTTCTCTATTCCTCTAGATTCAAGTTGGTAATTTAAATGCATTAATCTACATAGCAGAAGCTGCATAAGGTTGAACCCAACAATTTCTTCTCATCCATAAGTAGGAATGCTCAATCCATGGAAGAGCATTTCAAGTGCCTACAACTGGGATAGTTCTCCACTTCCATGTGCTCACAAATCCAAAATCCTATTTTCCGCCACCTTAGTACTCGTTAAAATGGATGGCACCGACTTTCCACACAAGGTAAGTCGTTGCGAACATCACTGTGCTGATAAGCACAAACGATAAGACGATGAAAAACAAATCAACACCACCTGGAAACTCGAATGTGAATCCCTCCTTTGGCATTCCACGCTTGCTGTCGTCAAACATGTTAGTAGGGGCTTCCGGAAGCCCGGATCTCCTCTTCCCACGATCACTCTCTTTGAGAGCATCCAATACTTTGCTACCCATTTCTGATTTAGATGTCTTTGCTTCTGAGTATCGGCTCCGAACTCGGGCTGCCCTCAGTCTCTCTCGCGCAGTTAAGGACGATCTTTTTGGTGTAGATTGCGACTTGGCATTCAGTGACTGATTTTGGTCTGGAATTGAATTAGGGACTGGTCCATTGGAAGTTACGGATGTAAAATCCCTGGAGCTCTCAACACCAATTTCAGAAACTGATTTTGCAGCATCGCCAGAATTCCTAACTGCAGAGTCTATGGAAAATTGGTCACTCTCTGCAACTGAAAGATGCAATTCCCGACGTGCTCTGCCTAAGCGAGGCATACTCAAATGGAAGAGAAAGCTGTTTTGCTTGAATTCAGAACCTTTCAGATAAGATGTAGACACCTGCCGGCTCCTTACCTGCACCTTTTGAGAAACTTCCATCATATTCAAGAACTCAGGGTAAAGACAGAAAGTGGAATTTGCCAAATCACATGATCTATACATGTAATTAGCTTAAAAGTTTCAGTGCAACTGCATCTGATTCATGCCACTACTTCAGGAAGCCCCTCATGGAAGTCCACTATAGCCAGCTGAAGCTATGAATTGTCTATCATCAAAGCTCTTCAAGAACAAGAACGTGTAACGGCAGCAAACTTAACGATTAGCTGTAAACTAGGTTGTGGGGAAGGGATAGAATTTTAATAGAGAGCATAAACTTCTGAAAGAAAGGCATGACTCCTATAAGATTCCAGTGAAACATCTAATCTTATGTAAATGTGGCAAGATAGAGATCTACAGGAAGTAATTCGATATGTGTCTGATGACCTGGTTTCATTTGAATAATTTTTATATGGTTCCAAGGATTTACAGAAGAAGAATTAATATATTTGGAGGATCCAAAGTTTTCAAAGTACATCAATCATTTTCTCCAGTTACAGTTATAAGCATCTTTTCCATTAAAGCACAGGCAGGACAGACCATTGACTCCCCTAAGTTGAGCACTATCTTGTCACATGAGAACTCTGTTTTCAGATCATTACTCTCTAGCGTGCCTGCTATTTCTTATAAGGACAGAATTGTATTGATCCAAGCATATTTCTTCTTGTGTTTTTTGATCTCAACCACCATAGTGTTTCAAATGCTGCAGCTCAACTCCCAGACAAGTTTACTTTAATAATTCCCAACACTTCAAATCTTCAACTTAGTTAAATAGGAACTCGAGCGCAAAGATCATCTTGATTCATTTGCAGCAAAATAATTTGATACAATCATTGAACGCAGCCACTCTTTCATGCACCAAAATAATTTGAGTGATGCAAATGTGCTAAATTAACAACAGTTAAGCATGTCTGCGTGTCTGCTGATGCTGTTGGATTGAAGTCCTTAAACATCGAACACTCAACACCACAAGTTTAAAGAATTTCTAAGCAATACTTCATCTTCTTAAGCTGCAACACGTAACCATCATAAATAAATACGGCAAACTTGCTGCCTAATATAAGGATATATAATTCCATCTCGTTTTGAGAAATATGGCTATTATGAAGATTTCGATATCACGAGGAGGTTTAGTTCATCAACGAAAAGTTTCATCCTTTGTTTCCCACGTTGTCAATATATTACAAAGCTCTGGTGGGTCTTGCTCCACCCTGAATGAGTTAAAGCCTAAATTGAAATGCCCGCCGTAAAAGTACCGCAAGATCACGACGGAAGAGAAGCAACCAGATGAAACACGTATTTCTACCAAGACTTGAATACGGAAATAACAGGAGCAGAACAAACTCGCTCACATCAAGACAATCTACAGTGCAGAAGATAATAAAAATCCAGTCTTTCAACTCGCTGAAGCAAAGAATCAAGAAGCGGCTAAATGGGTGTTCCCATCCAAGACAATGAAGACAAGCTCATGGGAGCAGAAACCCATGTCAAGAAGCAAGCGAGCGTCGGTTGTATCTTTACCTTGGAGCCGAAACCCAAGACTGAGTTCAAGCAAACGGCCATAGGTTGTCGTTGTTCTACGGTCGAACCATGGGACGCAGAGAGAGAGAGAGAGAGAGAGAGAGAGAAGCTGCGTGTGAGGGGGTTGTTTGTGGCGGTAGTGGAGTTTCCGTCTCCGTGGACTGGATGATCCACAGGGATTGTAGGAGACGACAGGCTTGAGATATTGCCCCGGATGGATACCGCGCCTTGCTGACACCTCGGCCTCCTTTTTCTTTTCTTTTTCTTTTTTTCTGCGAGAAGAGTTTTGTTTTATACATTTGTTTGATGGACACAAATTAGGATCATTATTCTTTTTTTCTGAATTTCAGTCGAAAGAGTGATCTAATACGATGTTATATGTCGGTTCCATTTGAAAATTCTTACGAGTGATCTTTAGATCACGACGTGTTTATGTTACTCGATAAACTACCGATAAAATATTCACGTGTAAGAATCATATGTCATAATCTTGAGCCTCTTATAGAAATCACATTTTTCAATGGTGGTAATTATTATATTATCATTATTTATGACAAAGAGTAATACGTATTATCTTGCAAATGAAAAGAAAGATATGAATGAAAATAATTCGAATGGAACTCCAGTATATAATTTTAAGCATTAACATTCACCTATGCCATTTTTATATGAAAAAAAAAAAAAGAACATGCCAATTTCTAAGCTATCATTAGTAAATATCCTATTCAAAATAACACGTCTAGGCATTTATAGCCACACAATGTATGAAGCCTCAAATCTCGAGCTCTCCATCTTATTCAGCACAGGAGGTGAAAGTGGACCAATTTACTCGTAAGTAATTCCAACTTTAGCTCGATGACTACTCAAGATAGTCTCGCTTTTTTTGAGTCAAGCTCGAGTATATTGCCGAGTCGAGCTTGTCGATGCTCATCTCGATATGCTCGCAATGGCAATCGAGTTTTCATTATTCTTTTACAAAATATGTAATAATTATAAAAAAATCACAATATATCTAAAAATAGATAATATTCAATTGTTCATTAGTTAATCGCAATCAACTTGAGTCTCATAGAGCTCGCATGTCTCGATTTTCTAATCGAGCTGAGCTCGGGTAGATAAAATAATACTCCATCGTGCTCGAGTCGAGTTCTGAACATCTAACATAGGAGGCAGATAAAGCTCGACAGATTTACCAACTCAACTCAACTTATACCCAATTATGTTCTCGTGTGCCAGTGATAGTGGAGGCAACAAAAATGGCGACAATAGAGCCAGCGCTAAAGCACCAAAGTAATTTTGGTGAAATGCAACTCATTCCAGATTCATACTCGAAAGGGGAAGAAGAAACACACAGATTCATGCAATAACTCGCTTCCACAAAGCCAAAAGACAATTTCCGGAACACTTGAATGACATTTTTCAAGTGAACCGGTCAAAGAATTTCATCCAAAAAGTTCGCCCCCAGAACATAGAATTCATGTGATTCTCTCGGTCGTGGATACACAATGAAACGAAATTAGTTTTATAATACAAGAAACCCCTCGGCTGGGCCTCTACAATAGGCCCAAAAGAATGCTGTCTTCTAGTTCTATCCCACCCACCCAAAAAAAATTATCAACAGCTAATAATAGACACACCTTTTTGAAAGCAAAAGCAATTATTTCAAAGAAACCTTGACCCTTTCTGCAAAAATGAATAAGAAAATTTACCCTCAGCCACACACGTCAATGAAGAACTCAAACTGCTATCCTGCTCTTAATTCCTGAAAAATCTGCAATGTTCCTCAAAACTCAATAACTGCCCATGGGTGGCATGCCAAAAGGTGGCATTGGAGGCATTCCCATTCCACCCATGGGTGGAGGTGGGGCAAAGCCTCCCCCCATTCCTGGTCCTCCCATGCCCGGCATTGGCGGTGCAGGCAGAGCGAGAGGCAGCAGTTGGGCATACATATTCTGCAGAAAACATAAGAATATATGAAAAGGTAAACAGAAAAACAAAGGCAAGTATGAAATTGTTTGAGAAAGGAGTAAAGCTGTATTATCAAGATGATATCGGCAAAGAGTGTAGAAAACTTTGAGAGAGAAATTCAGCAATTCAACAAACTATAAGAATTTCAGCACAGATTACCTGCTGTGCGATCACGTCCTTCTCTTCCTTCTCTTTTGCCTTAACCTCATTTTGAGCTTCAATTCTGTCTTTTACTAGCTCATCAACTTTGCCCGTGTATTCACGGATAAACTGGAAAAAAAATGAACCAAGGTTAAAAACAATCAAAGACAAAAATGGTCAATCATTCTTGGTTTGTGCCTAATGAGCAATCAAATTAATAGAAAAGCACATGTATACCTTACAAATGGTTTGAAAAGTACATAATTTCAGAATAGTGATTTAAATTACACTCCAACAATGTTCTTGGAAGCAGGAGATAGCAAAATGTTCAATAAGCATTAGTATTTACAAAGCGGGAAGTAATTACCTGGAGGAGATATGGGAAGGCAAAGTCAATCATATTGTTCATCCAAGCTAGCTCAAGAGCAATATCTGCTCGAATCAAATCATAGCACACAAATAGGCAAGATGCAAAGCATTCTTTCTTCCCCTGCAAAAGCACATAATGGCGAAGGATTACAACTCCAAACAACAAAAGTATCAAGAGTCCATGAATGTCGATGCAATTGGGTATTTGAAAGAAAAGGTAACAGCAGAACTCCAAGAACTACTGTGAAAAGCCAAAAGTTTCATTCAATTTATCGATATCTAAACTCTAGCCATTTTAACAAAACCAGCTGAACTAATTCTCTATGCAAAACCCTTAAACCTCAATTTGCAGACACCAAAAGCAATGAAGGAGAAAGCCCAGTAACCTCATCTGATACATTAACGAGAGATTTAGTCAACTCCACCAAAAGTATAGTGTCACAGGCAACCATAAGCATAAAACTTTTCTGTATCCGAAGAACTATGATGTTCTTATCTGCAACATAGTTTGGCTAGAACATCACCAATCACTCATAGCATACCTTTTCTATGAAATAAACAAGCAACTCTTCAGCAAGTTCACGTTCACCAGACTGAGAAGCTGTCTCCATTGCATCTTTGAAAAGATTGTCTTTCTTGGAAAGTGCAATTGACTGCTTCCATCGGCCAGCCTTCTTGTAAATATAAGCAGCAACTCTTCTCATTTCAAGAAGTTCGTGCTTCTCAATCTGCTCACGTGCAACAGCACAATGAGATTGAGGTTGCGTCAGGAAATAAAAGAAACAAAGCAAACCAACTGCATCTCACCTTCTGAGCCAAGCCTATCATATCAAAGTTATCATGCAAATCAATAGATTCACGTAGTCGATCGTAGTCTTCCTCTTCCACATAAATCTCATTCAAAGCCTCATTCACAGCAGACACATTATTGCTTTGAACTGCAACCATGTATGGCTTCACAAGACGCAGGTGACCAGCCTGAAATTCACAATTTTGCAGATCCCCTCTTAAAGTTAATATTAGAAGAAAGACAATTTGATGTCATAAAGCAATATTAAAGAATAAGCTAAAACCTTTCGCATGATGTCAACAACACGTGTATGGTCCACTCGCAGTGCAAGCACATTTAGAACATCATTTATCTGTTCTGGATGTTCTTGCAAGTAGAAGTGCACAGCCTTGTAGTAGAGTTCAACATTAGCAACTTTGACAATAACATCTTTAAATTGCATGTGTTCCCATGCTTCTGGGGAGTGGTTCATTATGGTAGTTGCAGCATTATCAAACTCATCATATAGAATGTACAAATAGGTAAGCTCCTTCCAATGTTGTTGCTCATCACAAGCTCTGATAAGCTTTGGAATGTTGAGACGTGTTGAGAAGAGCTTGATGTGCTCCATAAGCTTCTCAGGACGGTATCTAGCATAAAGAACTCCCAATTCAGTGAAAATGCCCATATGTGCACGTTCCAGCCCCAAACCACTCTCCATGAGTGAGATAAGCTCATTAAAGCATCCTCTGTTCTGATAGTATTCGCTGACTTCTTCCAGGTCATCCACCTACAATTTTCAGAAGAGTGAGATCAAGAGTTGCTAAAGAGAGGTCTTGTCACTCGATACCTACGAAATCTACGAATAACACCTACACATAGGAAAAAAAGAAAATCTACTTCTCACACCCAGTCCAAGTATAATTTCTCAAAAGGTCAACTGGCTATAGCTATATTTAAATGTTAAAACAGAAGTGTGTCCACCAGAATCAAAATAAAGTCACATAAACACCCACAACTCACCTGGACAATGATGTTCAAACCACATATTTGAGCTAAGCGGAACTCCTCAGCATCAACACAAGCAAAACAAACTTCCTTCCATGTCTTTGCACTGTTGGCTTTTCGTGCTGCATCAACAGCACCTTGGAATTGTTTCAGCTTCACCAGTGTGCATGCCAACTTGGCCCAGTTAGAGATAAAAGCAAATATGATCTTAGCAGCCTCATATAAGGCTTCATCAAAGAGGCGATCACCAACATTTTGCAGATTGGCCACATTAGGCATGAGAATAAATTCTTCAATTTCACCCAATCTATCAATCTTTGCATACGCATAGATAAGTTCACTGTCCACTTTTGGCTCTTTTGCCTTCTGCCTAACCATTAAAAGGTATTTCACCAAGTCATGGTAGACATTTGCATTCCCAGCAGCTTGAATAACATCCAAAAATTGAGTCGCATCATCTGCCCGAATGAACGACTCAATTGCATCACTCACCAGACCCTCCCTCAACTGAGCCTTAGCTACCTGGCTCCAGACAGCATCTTCTTCAACCCTGAATGCAAACTCCACAGCTCGATCAATGCTTCTAATATTGTCCAGTAAGACATTAACAGCCTGAACATTCATGTTGAACTTTTTGAAAATTGCAAAGGCTTCCTCATATAGTTGGGCTTCCACAGCGACTTCTCCAACAGCAGGTCCATCAAAGTTATCAAGTCTATTGACATAAT